ACATAAAAATACACAAAACAGGAAATAGAGATTTTCTTAGATTAAAAAACCAAGACAAAGAGGTCTCAAAACGTTTTTTTCTGAAAGCATAAAACATGAGAGTGCTCAGGTTAGAGGCAGCAGAAGCTGGACGAGAACAGATTTCTCTTCCGAAGCCTGGGCCTCGCAGGGTCTCCATCAGTTCAGGAGGCCAGGACGCTGCACCAGGGAAACCAGCCAAACAGCTCTCCCACCCGACAGGGAGGAAGACGGGAAGAACAGTCATGAAAAGCTCCTTCCTCCTGCTCCAAAGTGAGGAAGAGAACAGCATCCCTCCTCTAGCTTTCCTGGGTCTAATGCCCCTTACCTGGTATTTACCACAACCCATCCAACTTAGTTCCTAACCAAAGTTAGAAGGTCCCTAAGTTTGCTGGGAGGGGAAGAGGCTGCTGTGATAGCAAACAGATCTTTATTTGTGGTCATCACTGGTGCCATTTCTTGCTGTTTATCTGTTTGCTAGCCTGCTCTTCCAGCTGCATGGCCAGGCGCAGGGACTTGATGACTTCTGGAAGGAAGGAGAGGGGCACAGAGTTACTGTCTTGGAAGCACTTTCCCCACTGCCATCGCCTGTGCTGCTAGGAGCCACAGGCCAGCGCTGCTGCACCTGTGCGGCGGCGACACCCACCTCGCAGGGCTGAGAAGTGCTTGGTCTGCTGTGCCAGGGCAGATTCTGCTTTGTTCACAAAGGTCTCCAGGTCATAGTCTGGCTCATCGGTCATCTCTGAGAGCTCAAGCCAGGTTGGTCCTTGCTGCAACGACAGGAGAACCTAGTCAGCTCAAACTCACGCAAACACTCCAGCAAATCATCCTCAGGGCTCAGCCATCTGCAATACAGTTGTATCCGCAGAAGGCCATACTCTTAGCCAGGAGGGGCTCAGCCTGAGCACAGTGGCACACACCTAAAATCCCAGTACTTGGGAGGCTGACAAAAGAGAATTGAGAGCTCAAGGTTATGTATTTATTATTCTGTCTCAAAAACAAAACCAGGAGCTAGAGAGACGGCTTGATGGTTAAGAGAATTTGTTCTTCTAGAGGTCAGTTTCCGGGATACACATGGCAGCTCATAGCAGTTTTAGAGGCTCTAAAACCTTCTTCTGACCTCCTTGGGTAATTGGCATGAAAATGGCACACATATGCAGGCAAAAACACTCAACCATATTAAAAACAAACCAAACGCCAAACCCGTGCTCTGCCCACATTGCCACTTTACTGAAGTCCCTTCGAAGGCTTCACTGCATGCATCCTAAAAAAATCTGAGTCTTTGGTATGAGCCAGATGGAAGACCCTTTAGCACCAGGGCCCCACTGACTGTGCCTTTACCTATCTCCCTCTGTGCACAGCCAACTCTGATGTGACATGGGCCACGTCACAGTGCCCCAGACACAGCAGCTAGGGAGGACATGTCTGCACACTAGTCTTCACAGCAGTCTCCTAAGTGGCAAAAGTTCTTTCTCTCTGCTCCCCCCCTCTCCATAGCAGGTGCACAGCTGAAGTAGCACTTCCCATATCTTGGTCTCAGCTGATGCTGGCTCTGTGGTACAGCTGCACAAGCCACCACTTAACCCTCAAAGGCAACACTACGCCATGCCCAGTTTAGAGACAAGGAAACCGAGGCTCAGTGAGACTACATGCCTTCAACAGGGAATGAGCTCACACCTACAAGAGTGAGGTGTTGTAGGTCCATGAATAGTCACTGAATAAATTTATGTCCCCTGCACCCCTAGTCAGCAGCACCAGGGCACAGGAGAGTGTTCCGGGCAAGCAGAGCCAGGTGTTCAGGGCTGCACTGTCCCATCCCAAAGACAAAACAGGAGCAAAGCCCAGATGATGTTCCCAGAATAGAGTTGAGCTCTGTGGGCTGTGCAAGAGTGGCCTGCCAATGTCTCCCTGGCTGGGACCAGTTTGTACCTGTATGATCTCCCTGAGCTCCTCCATGGCCCTCTCTTCCAGCTCCCTGATCTGAGTCATGGCTTCATTAAAGCTGGACATCTGGGAAGACAGTTCCTCCTCTTCCTTGAAGAACTGAAGGCAAAAAGTGGAGACAACAGCGTAAAGACTGTGGCCCAGAGTTCATTTCAAACGCACGTTTCATCCTGCCCCCCACCTTACATTGACTGCCGCCGAGGTCCCATTAGAGCTGGCTTCCATCTCTTCCGTTTCCATTTGAATTGGCTGCTCTCCACTGGGCCCACTGTGGGGGCTCAGTTCCTTGACCCTGAGGAAATAAGAGGGTTTTGAATTCACCAGCAATCCCTGGGCACTCACTGCAGAAATGCATCACGACTCAGATAACAAGGGGTGAGTAGCACCTAGTCTTCAGCTCAGGAGCGGTGGCATAAACCTGAGGCTGACATGGAAAGACCCTCACTGTTTTACTGACTGAAGGGGATTGGACAGACCTAGCATGTGGCTGAACTCCACACCTCCTGTTTTCCTCCTGTTTGGGGAGGAAATTCAGTGTGGCTGGAATGCTCCGACCACTTCCCTCCCACCTCATCACTGCCATTCCCTCTCCGTCCCACCTGGACACAGGCCGCATACCTGTCTGCATATCTCAGCGTGTTTAAAGTGTATTCACAAGAGCTTATGCCTGGTGAGATCATGGCGATCTGAGGAAGAGGGAACAAGCGGTCAGAGGTGGGAACCACAAAGGAAGCACACGTGGGCATGGAAGCCACTTTAGCTGCTAAAACTGACAACCTAAATGTACACAGGAGGAGAACAGACCCCTACAAATTGTTCTTTGACCTCCACATGACTACCATGATGTATGTCCATGTGCACACATTTACATAATAAACAAACAAATTAAAAAAAAAAGCTGGGTGCAATGGTACATGCTTTTAATACCAGTATTAGGGAGGTAGAAGCAGGCAGATCTCTGTGAGTTTGAAGCTAGCCTGATCTATGTAGTGAGTTTCAGGCTAGCTGGAGCTACATAGTGATACACTATCTAGATAAAAAAAAAAAGAAATTAAAAGAAAAAGAAAAGGACTGGAGAGCTGGTTCAGTGGTTAGATACACTTGTTTGCAGAGGACCTAGGTTCAATTTCCAGCACACACATGGCTGCTCACAACCATGGCTAACTCCAGTCCCACCTTCTTCTGGACCTGAGGGCACCAGACACACCTGTGGTGCACATACATATATGCAAACAAACTATCCATACACATAAATTTAAAAATCTAAAAGAGTTGCTGGGTGTGAAGGTGCCATGCCTTTATCTTAGCACTTGGGAAGCAGAGGCAGGTGTGGATCTCTGAGTATGAGGTCAGCCTGGTCTACTGAGTGAATTCTAGGACATCCAGGATTACATAGAAAGACCTTATCAGGAAGGAAGGAAGGAAGGAAGGAAGGAAGGAAGGAAGGAAGGAAGGAAGGAAGGAAGGAAGGAAGG